GGGGGCCCTGCCGGGGGCCAGGGAGTGCCCTGGACCAGCCTCTGAGCGCACCGGCGGGGCCGGGTGAGGCGCCCCTGCTGCTCTCGCCCTTATTCAGGAGGCGGTGCCCAGCAGCCTCTGCACTCTGTGCAGATGGCCCAGCCTCGAGGAGGGGCCCGCGCTGTGCAGGGCAGAGGTGGGGTGCCCGGAAGGTGGGCCCGAGGACTCCCGCCTGCACTGATGCTTCGCTGGCTGCTGGGAGGGGCGAAGGGAGGCTGTCCCGCTTCCCAGAATGGCGTCGGGCCTAGGACGCCCATGGCCCAGAGCCTGTGGCCACACCCCCCTTGGGCTTCCTGGAGGCAATGTGGCACTGCTGCTAGGCAGACGTGAGGACGCCGCCAGGCCAGCGGCCCTCTGCACGTGGGTTACGTGGACCCGCTCCCCGGTGTCTCACTGTGGGCTCGGGACACGGGGGCTGTAGGAGCCGTTACTGGTGTCTTCTGAGGGACGTGGCTTTGGGGCCTGGGCACAGGGATGTGATCCCAGCTTCTGCCAGTGTCTTCCATCTGCAACCACTGTGCACAGGAGTGACATCACGGGTCACAGAGGTGTCCCAAGGGAAGTGGGCGACCTGTTCTGGCATTGTTGACCCTTTTCTTTTTTAAGTAAACGGCCTTTTAGAGAGTGATTTATCTTGTGGTTCTCACATACTCTTAGATCCAACGTGACCCTTTTGCTCCAGGGGCAGCGCCCCACACTGCCCAGCTGCCAGGGACTCTGGCCTCTCCGTGGCCCCGTGGTCCACCTTGGCCCAGTTGCTCCCAGACAACTCTTTACAGGCCTGAAGTCTTGGTGGGCCTCCCCAGGGTTCCAGGCCCCCTGGCTTGGCCCCACCTCTGCGTGTCAAGGACAAGGACAGCTCTAATCTGTGGGGAGTGGGGTCAGGTCAGGTGGTTCTGCCTAACGTTCTGCCCCAAGTTGGCCGGGGAGTCCTCGCTGGGGCACTGGGGGCTGCGTTGCCGTGGGCAGGCACAGCCTAGCTGCCAACCTGGAGCCTGTACCTAAAGCCGCACCTGGGCCGTGCCGGGGCCAGGGTGGTGCCTGCTCATCCCCGCAGCTGTGCCCGGACCAAGGTGGTGGCCACCCTGCACAAGCGGATGGACGCACTCTTATGGGCCAGGCCCCCGCCCAAGGGCTGCTCTCGCCCAGAGGCTGGGGCTCCAGCCTGCCTAGTGGCACCGCAGCCTGCAGTGTGGTCAGGTGTCGGTGTCCTGCCCATCACGGACACAGCAGCCGTGGGCCAGCAGGTAGAGGTGGTGGTGAGTGCCACTGCCCTGCACACGTGGCCCCATGGGTCTGCGTGACGTGGGCCCATCTGGGGACAGTCTGAGCTGCACGTGGGCCATGTGGTTGCACCAGCCCCGGCAGTCTCGGACACACCGTGGGCATCAGACATCTGTTCCAGCCTCGCGCCTGAGCGAGTGTGTCACACAAGGTCACCAATGGGCGGCCTGCTCACAGGGCAGGGCAGGGCAGGGCAGGAAGCCCGGGATGCCAGCCTCAGTACACCGGCTCCCTCTGTCCACAGATCCCCGTGGCACGTGACCGACGCCCCTGCGTGCCCAGCCATTGTGAGCATCATGCTGAGCAGGCGTGCACTACATGGCTCGGGGCGAGTCGGCACGTGGCCTGAGATGCCCTCGGCCTGGCGGTTCCCTGTGACAGCGAGCTGGGCCACCGCCAGCTGGAGGGGTCAGGCTCCTCTGTGCTCAGACACCGCCATGGCGGCCATTCGTGCGCAGCCGAGCATGACGACTCCCTGATAGGCCAGTGTCCTCAAGCTGCTGGCTGAGCCCACCTGGGGCTGTGCCCGATGGCAGGAAGGTCACCATGGCCGCAGAGGGCTCCCAGTCACTGCGCCTCGGCCTTGCACCTTCCCACTCAGCCCTCAGCGTTCCCGATCAGCCCTCCTGCATCCCCGTCTGCGCTTCCTGCCTTCAGCCGCAGGAGGCCCTGTCCTGAAGCAGAGAGGCTGGGGCGGCCCCAGGCACATACACCCCCACCCCCGTGGAGAGCGCTTGGCAGGGCAGGCACAGAGCCTTCTAGACAGCAGCCAGGGAGACGGCGCCAGTGCCTGACGGAGTGTCCGTCCAGATCGCCTGCTCAGGGTGCCGGGGCGCCCCAGGACCCTCGGTGTGCAGGAAACTAGGGCTCAGCCCCCACCTAGCGCACCCTGGGGGCCTCCCTGCCTTTGTGCCCCTGCCGCCCTCCCCTGGCTCCCTGGGGCCCTGGCTGTGTGCTGAGACGCTGTCCTTGTCTGGCAGGTACTCCTTCGGTAAGTGGAGGCGGGGACAGACACGGCTACCCCGAGGGCGGGTACGTATCTTGGCCACCTCTGCTGCTCGCTGGCCCTGAGCCTCGGCCTCCGCCTCAGGAGTGCCGTGTGCTCTGGTGCAGCTTCTTCACCTGACCCTGACCTCCGCGCCAGGCCTGGGCTCTGCCTGAGGTGAGCAGCAGTGCGGCGGGGGACTGGGGCCCAGGGTGAGGCGTAGTGGGGCTGTCAGCAGGTCATGATGGACGGGTCACAGGGCCGGCACCCACGCGATTCCGTTTGCTCACAGGACGCGCCGTACACCTCCAAGCTGCACCCGCCTTGTCAGGGCGCCCTGGAGGCCACCTGGCCTGCCCTGGCCAAGGGTGGATTCCAGGCCCCTCAGCCCACAGTCCTGGAGATGCTGGGGGTGGGCCACAGGCTTTGGGGAGGCCAGGGCCCAGCAAGGACAAAGGTCTTGGCGGTTTGTTAGTCAGCTAGACCCCGGGGCCATCCAGAAGGCCCTCATCCCTGCGTGGGGCTGACCGCCCTTGAGCCTGCTCTGCACCTCCATGGCGCCCGCCGGCCCCACCATGGTGTGGTGTGTTCACCCTTCCCAGAACACTGCACTGGGTCCTGACCACTCAAAGGGACAGAGCGTGCCAGACGTCAGCTGGGAGTGGGTGCAGGGAGCCGACGCTGTCCCTCGGGCCCGTGCCCGCGAGGCTGGGTGGTCGGTGGCTGTGGCCGACTTGTGGCTTTCATCAGCCCGGGCTGGCTGTGCCCAGCCTCCCCTAGGACCCTGGCCCTGGTGCCACACCTGCTCAGTTCACGGGTGGGAAGCGACGGAGAACTCTCAGGGGAGTTCCCTCCCCCATTTGCAAAGCGAACAGCCATGGGCTGTGTGCACGCGTGCTGGACGAGGGGCTGTGTGCACGCGTGCTGGACGAGGGGCTGTGTGCACGCGTGCTGGACGAGGGGCTGGGTGCACGCGTGCTGGACGGGGGGCTGTGTGGACGCGTGCAGGGCGGGCGGCTGGGAGCAAGCCGGAG